TCTGAGGCAAACAAGATGTTCAAAATAATTGGAGGTTTTCACAGGAGGATAAGAGAAGCTGAAAACCATCACTAACTGAAAGGATTGATTCTGTTTCAAATCTGAACTTTTCTACTATACCACCCCAAATAATTATAACAGCCAATTCCCTGAGAAAAGTATTCTACCTCAGCTGCTCAGTCAGCCTTCTGGACACGATGTGTTAGAGGTACCAGAAAGCAAAATACCACCATTATTTTCAGCAGTGGACAAATGAGTCTTGCAGAACACAGACACTCATTTCTCTCTGCAAAGAGTAATGCTTTTGGTTTTTTTTTTCATTCCCCTCCAATTGAAAGCTCATATTTCAAAATGCATTATTAAGCTTTCATTAGTGTTATTTAGTTCTGTAGAGCACAAGAACTACAAGTGCTAGCCAAGCTTTCACCAGATGTAATGCACTTGAAAAGAATACAGTAGCTTTCTAGCAGCTCTTAGTAAACACTGGAAACAGAATTTTCTTCTCAAATACAGCACAAGTATTCCTTTACTCAGTATCAGCAGTAAAAAGTTGTAAATATCTTATGGAAAACTTTCCTTATGCTTCATTTCCTGTTGTATATTTCGTATCATTCTCTATTAACACTGTTTTCATCCCTACTTCATTTTTTTCTTTAAACTCTTCATTGCTTTGCAGCAACTGAAGCAGCACCTTTTTTTCAGTGTTACTGTGCTGGCAGTGGCCACAATAAATACAATTCTGTTTTTTCAGTTCTACATCTTTGCGTGGTCGGCCTGTCTGCTCCATTCCATGTCTTGTATGGCACATAGCACTCATGTTGCAAGTATATATTTTTTAAGAGAGACAGACAAATTAACAATAAAAGCCTTTGCAAACTACCACCAGTGACTAAGCCTTTTAAGAACGTATTTTTCATCTTGACAGAGCTGGTTTTGTTTCCCAGGCACTTGCACGCACATCAGAATCCAGCCAGCAGGCATTCAGGCAAAAATAAAAAAAAAATTAAATGAGAATTGTTTAGATGCAAAAAAATAAATAAATAAAAAATAAAATCTCAAGTCCATTCATGTTCTCATCAGACTTTCTTTATAGAGACAGGACAGAGTACAGTCAGCTGATGTTCGTGTACATGAACAGGCACTACAGAACATTTTGGAAGCTAAGAAAACTGCCAGGCAGAATTCACCAGGGCTGTGCTAACAGAATTTGGCAGCTTCCTTGTCCCACCACAGCCTGGAAACTTACATCCTTTTCTGAGCTCCAACAGCGAGGCAGCTGCAGGTACTAATGGGTAATGGTGGATATGCAGTGGAACAGGTTGCCCATGGATGCCTCATGCCTGGAAGCATTTAAGGCCAGGCTGGATGTGGCTCTAGGCAGCCTGGTCTGGTGGTTGACGACCCTGCACACAGCAAGGGGGTTGAAACTAAATGACCATTGTGGTCCTTTTCAACCCAGGCCATTCTATGATTTTATGATCCTTCTCCTCCCTCTCCCTGCCCAAACAGACAGTTAACCTACCTGAATACTGAGGTATCCCTATGGAAGAATTTTATTCCCCAAGAATGCAATCTGAATGAATAAAATCATCTCTTTCAGCTAATTCATCCACGTTGGTAAGAAGCGACAGGACAAGAGGTAATGGCTTTAAGTTATGCCAGGGCAGGTTGGATATCAGGAAAGATTTCTTTTCAGAAAGAGTGGTGATGCATTGGCACAGGCTGCCCAGGGAGGAGGTGGAATCACTGTCCCTGGAGGTATTCAAGAAATGTGTACATGTGGCACTGAGGGCCATGGTTAGTGGACATGGTGGGAATGGGCTGGTGGTTGGACTAGATGGACTTTTCCAGCCTTAATGATTCTATGACTCTATAAGCACTTTGCTCCAACAATCTCTGCCAAGTTTAGATGACCCAAAGTTTATAAACTGGACTGGAAGAACAAGAAGTTGACAATAGGCTTTCTGTACCTATCTACTCATATCAGCAGCTGTACTTAACTTTTGTCACAGTGTAGGATGTCTGCGTCTCACCTCATTACAGAGCCAGCATACGCACAAGCACTCTGGGTCCCCTGGTTTACAAGTGGATAGTGAAATATTTAGGAAAAATCCTGCACTGCTCAAGCTTTCATAACAACCAGTAAACTAAAAAAAAAAAAAAAAAAAAAAAAGAGTCTTTTAAATAAATACAGTTAAGCAAAATGTTTTCTTTTTGTCAAAACTACTGAATTCTTCCCAGTGTGAAACCAATGGGTGATGCTTTAAATGCAGGATGCTGTAGCTTTTAAAATGGTATGACTCACTGGTTTACACAAAGGTAGCTGTTCCTTCCTTGGTCACATCCTACAGCAACGTAACATCCACGCAGATGGCAACAAAATGGAACAAAAGATCAAAGAGTAAGGCATTTCAGTTCAAACTAAATCTTTATTCATATGGAAAATACTATTTTTCTTTCTGCAAATGATGCTAATAAATAAAAATACTCCAAAAACTTTGCTTAGAGTTAAGTGACTACTTACAGCCACACAAAGCTTTTAATTCCCGTTAAAACCACGCCAACAATCATGCAGATTGGCTACGAGAAAGCAATATAAACTATATTTTATTTTGTGCAATCTTATTATACAATCTCAATGCTATCTTCTTCTAAACCATTTCACATAGATTGAAATGCAATTTCAAAACAAATATTAAGGGACATATTCTACACTTATTCCACATATGGAGCCGTGTATAGTTTAAGCCCATAAATGTAACTGTAGTTAAGCATCTAAAGAAGGTAAAAGAAAAGAGGACCCCATTCTGAGAATTCAGACAAGTTTAAAAACACAAGAAAAGAAAAGCTCACACCAGTGAGTTCTCAAGACAAATAACATCATGAAATCATAACAATAAATTATATTAAATTTAATAATGTTCATCCTTAAAACGTTTTTTTTTTTTTTTTCTGAGGAAATATCACTTAGAAAGCACACCAAACCTTCCATCAATAAGTCATACCTTAAGTTTACAAATCTCGATTTCCCACTCAGATACAATTTTGTTTTCTCCAGACTTCAGCTTCACGAGCATAGTCCTTACCATAACTTTAAAAACAAATCAAAATATTTTGCAGTTAAGCTGTGCATCAAACACATCATCAAGGTGAGAAACAGGCACTTGACAGTATAATGTGCAAGGCAAAATCTTTACTGGTCACAGTATAGTTTCTTCAGGAGGGAAATTAAAAGCTCTCAGCCCACCTTGGAGAGTAAAATCCCAAGGGCTGCCAGCAGATCTCCTTCTGGTCTTTTAGGTCAGCACCAACAACCAAACTAAACACCAGCTCACGCCTTTGGCTTAGAGGGTATTCCATTAACTATAAAATGCAGCATACTTTACCCCAGAACCCTAATGCTTTCCTATAATTAACCTCAGCATATGCACTTGCCAAAGGCAAACACTCAGTTTATTCAGACTAAGTAACTCAATATAAATGCTAACTCTTTCTCCTCTGTATTTTTTAATATATAATGCCAATTTATACTACATTTGCCAGTTACAAGATCCTGTTTTGTAGCACAAAACACTGATGTTCTTCTATACAAAATTAAGAGCAATATCTTTTAACATCCTATTAAACTCAATCAAAAAAAAAAAAAAAAAAAGACAAAAATCCATTTTGCTACATCTCTCTAGGCGCACCTCAACAGGAAACTCCAAAGAATACCTATGCAGGAACCATAAGCCAGAAAACTGTTACATGAATTGGAAGAGTGAGGAGAAAGAGAGCACTAAGAAAGGAATAAGATGGCAGTAAGAGAAAAAAGGTGCAAGCTTAGAAGAAAACTGCATGCATCCCTTTTCATAAGCGTAAGCTTCTTGCAAAAATATGTTTACAGGATATCTATTAAATATAAAGATATACATTTCCTTGTAAAAATGCTGATTTTCTCAAATACTAATCTGATCTTCCTATTGTACTGGCCACACTGCTAGGCAGTCAACACAGGTTTTCAGTTCAGTTATACCAGTTTTACAAACAGGAGAGAAGAGGCTTCTCTTTTCATGTCTGCCATGAAACTTTGATTTGTTTTCCATGGATGTTAAAAGCAGTATTTATATAGGTCATAGAAATGAAATGGAAACCAACTTTGGATCTGACATTGGCTGCACTGCTGATGAGAGACAATATGCTAGAAAGAGGCACTTTAAGTATTCTATGTACATTTCAAATCTCCAGTTTATCACTTCGCCCTCTTTTACCAAAACTGAAAGTATCAGTAGCAAGTAAGACAGCTTTGTAACAAAAATGCTTCAGAAACCGTGTGCATGCACAACCTTGTAATGGCTCAGTTGTTTTGAAAATGCCAGTCTATTTCATTCACTGCTTATGGAGGGAAGGATGAGGGGCAATCAACAAATTGTACAAAACAAAGTTGCTTGTAGAACAAGGACCGGCTATTGTAAAAAGGAAATCATTTATCCTTCCATAAGCGACTTATCCACAGATTCAGGACTATCCGTACTGAATACTGACATCTTACACTCTACCCACTGCCTCTTTCCAAATGTACAGTCATTTCTATTTTTGGCATGACATGGATCTTAAAAACTGACAAGTTCAGCTTTGTCAAACAACATTCAGTACAAAAAGCTCTGGAAGACCCATTTGACCTGACTATTGGTGAAGTTCCCGTGACTGAACGAGTTACACTGGAGTCATATTTTCCCATTTCACACAAAGTACATTGTGACAGTTGAGCATCTTGTGTGCACAAGCTGAAGCATATGCTGAGGCTGAAGATTTGGAAAACAGTCTATTAAGTATAAGCATTCTTCCTGCAAGCTACACATCAGTATTCTTGTCTTAAAAGGGACAGCATCAAAACTAAAATTTTGAGTGACCCTCAAATACCAGGAAAAAAAAAAAAAACAGGACCTCAAGCTAGTGGAAGTTCCTATGTAAGGCAGTCAAATTTACAACCAGTGTTTACATTCACTAAGGAATTACTCTTTTTTTTTTTTTTTTTTGGTAAAACCAACAATCAAACAAACCACAGAGTCTGAATGTGAAATATAGGCACAAAATAGATTCTCTACTTGTTTTTTCTTTTTTTAGTGTGGAAAACATAGCTATTTAACAATGTAATAAGAAAATTTACTATCAGGTGAGCAAAAATTTGTAACAATTGGAATAAAACAAAGTACTGTATAAAGGTGCAATATTATGCAGATTTGATTTTGGTTTAAACATACAAGTAAATCATGAACCTTTCTCTTCTTACCTACAAAGTATTTCACATCACCAGCATCATTCCAGTTCTTCCCAGTTGTCAGTAAGGTTACCTTTGCTTTGACGTCTAATACTAACCAGCTTTCCAGCTGATTTGATACTCCACCTGGAACTGTTTCCTGAGCTGGCCAGGTTCGTGTACTTTGTGGAGCCTTTGGTTTCATCTTCCCAGCCTGACCAGGCTGAATAGTCACTTAAAGCAGTTGCTGCATCACAGGCAGAATCAGCAGCAGTAATCTGTGGTGGTTCCCAGCCCTCAATCTCATCTGGTTTCCTAGACTGGACATTCTGCTTTATCACCAAACTGTCCCAAAAACCTGGCTTCTTTTCTGACTTCATCTCTTCCTTTAATTTTAGGTTTGTTCTAGAAAATAACAATGATTAGGTGATTAATTTCTTCATTTAGCAATGCACTTAACAGTTATTCATAACATTCAATTAAATAATTATGTTTTATAGGAGTGAATGCTTTTATTCAACAGAACCGCACCTTGAATTTTACCTAAAGCTAGCTCTGCCTCTTCACTAAGAAGTCAGTTGCTGTTTTATGACAGCACATCCATCATTGTCATCTTCAAGAAAAATACCTTCCTATAGGTACAAGGCTAAGCACAGCAGACTCTGTGATCTGAAACAGATCTGGACTGAGTATCACAATTTATGATAATAGAAGTCCCCGCTCTTAACACATGAGCACAGGCCTTATGAGGAGCGGCTGAGGGAACTGGGATTGTTCAGTCTGGAGATGCGGAGGCTCAGGGGCGACCTCACCACTCTCCAGAACTACATAAAAGGAGGTTGTGGTGAGGTGGGGGTCAGCCTCTTCTCCCATGTAACTAGCAATAAGACTAGAGGGAACGGCCTCAAGTTGTGCCAGGGGGCATTCAGGTTGGTTATTAGGAAAAGAGGGTCAGGTGCTGGGACGGGCTGCCCAGGGGTGGTTGAGTCACTGTCCCATGAGGTGTTCAAGAAACGCTTGGATGTTGTACTGAGGGACATGGTTCAGTGGGGAAATACCGGTGGTAGGTGGATGGCTGGACTAGATAAGATGATTTTGGAGGTCTTTTCCAACCTTGGTGATTCTATGGTTCTATGAATTAGAAGTGCCTCTGGAAATGTATGGAGCATTTTAGCTTGCATTAGAACAATTTAGGACATTAATCGAAACAAATCCCAAACTCAGCACGAGGACAGCAGAAGTATTATGAAGGTATTTTGTCTACCACTAACTTTAAACACCCACTCAGTACTTTCCTCAGTTTCATATTCCTGTTACCACCTTTGCAGTTACACATTACATCCTAAAATATTTTAAGTCCAGTATTAGGACTTTATAGACCAGTTCCGGTTTTTTTTCCTCAAAGATATGCACAGTAGTTTGAAAACAGTTGTTTCATTTTTCTGAGAAGAAATTCCAAAGTTCCCCTCCCAAAAATGAGAAAAAAACAACCTTTGGTGTGTAATACATACAAATAATCTCTCTTTTAGAGACATTTAAAAGGCTACTTATGCTAATACATTTCTTATCTCATATTAAGAAGAATTATTTTGTATATGCAGTGAGTAGCATTTAAAGTACAAAAGGTACAAAATGTCAAATGTTTATGAGTAAATTTATGTACAAGGTTATAGGTGCAACCAAAAAACAGAACACAAAAGGCTGAATACTGGTGGTGAAACACACAATCTTCATGGTTCAACGAGCTAAGAAGAATACTGAAAGCATTATCTACTACTACTAGCATACAAATTAGCCACAAATAAAACACCCACTGAAATACTATGAATATTTCTATTAAAAGACTTTTTTTCCATGAACAAAAGCTTAGCTTAAGAAGTTCAATGCTATCATATTTTAGTGGAAGCAACAGAACCAATACCTTTAAAAGGGCTTTTCCTTCACTGAACTTAACATCTGCAGAATTGTCATCTTGTTAAGGCCAGGCACAGACCCCAATCACTATTCTTATATTTTGTGCCTACAGCACTTGAAAAGTTGTGCTTTCATAAAGTTACGTAGAAGTTGTGGCATATGGTTATAGGAAAACACCCCCAAACATAAAATACATGCATACAGTAATAATCATAGGGCACTAAAAACCTCCTTTCATATTTACTGTAACACAGTCTTCATACTGTCTCCACCCTCTTCGCTGGTTAATTTCATTTCTACTTTCTGCATAAATTGCACAGGATCCTTGAAGCAACCTTAGCATCTTAATACCAAGAAAACTGTACAGAAACTAGAGCTGGAACTTTTACTGAACAGGCTCAAAATGACAGGGAAATATATGTATTTTAAATATGTGTATATATATATACACACACACACATGCATTTATATGCACATAAATACACAAACATACTGAAATGCATCTATTTCAATGCCAACTGGAAACAAAACATACAATGACAGGTCTTAGCTAAACCTTTACGTGGCTGGAACTGATGAGTGGCACACTTCTTGTTCATGACCAACATAATCAGGCAATGTATGGTGGTAAACTCTGCATGTGCTGTAATAGCAAAACAGTCAGCCCTGGGAAGAGGTTTGTCTGTTGAGACAAGGGCCACAACCACAACACAGAACTGCCCTGTGAGCATTTCAGCTCCAAAAGGGAAGATCTGCAGAACCTGACACAGCTACATCACTTGGCCTTTTCAGGTGCAGACAAGACTTCAGAAAAGGAAGTAAAGCATGTTAAAGAAGTTAAGCTCAACTGCAAATTAATCAGTAAGAGAAAAGAGGTCACAGATGACTCTTACTCAGAAACCTTTACACAGCTGAATTTCCTCTTCTTCCTGATGTGCCTAAATAGGTTATCAACAGTACCCTCCTTTCCTAGCACAGCATGGTTTACGAGTGTTTAACTTACAATGAATAGTTCTGAAATGCACATAAACCTTTCTCTGTGATTTAACTTCCAGGAGCTGAACACTACTGCTTTTCAGCCTCTTCCTTCAATGTTTTGCAGAGCTATTTTCTGTTCCAGTTTGTGTATTTTTACAGCAGATAGAACAATCAGATTAACTCACCCTTTGGATTTTGGAGACTTGCATCCGGCCAGCAATTGCTGTTCATCATCTTTATTGAACATAGATGTCACTTCCTTCCAACCCCGGAAACTTGCACCTTGAACCTATGCAGAGAAGTAAACATACTCATAAATGTGCATTACAGAATTTAAGCAGAGAATGCGTGCCAGCTCTGACTGCTTGGGTGGCTGAGGGGCAGCCACGGTCCCACTTCTCTCGTGCCGTGCAGCTGGGAGCACAGAGGCTCTCTCCTTTTGAAAAAGACTAGACTGGGGGACTGCAGACAGAGCTGTTTCCTGCTGAGTAAAGAGTACAAAACCTTGCTGGTCTGCAGGAGCTGACAAATGATGTCGGAGAGTGCAGCTGGGCTCCTGGGTGCTCTCCTGCAGCCAAGAGCTGCTGGCTGCATGTTCATCTATCATACATAAGAAGGGTGACATAGGGAATCTAGGCAGGGAGACACGGGAAATCTAGGCAGCTAAGCAAACACTTTAAGGGGTTTCAGTAGACAGAACTAAAATGAACAGCCATTGCTAGAAGGGGCCACAGCATGCAGGACAGCTAGCTGAATCATGAAACTCTTTAGATTTTACCTGCTTTGCACAATTGTTCCTGTTTTTAAACTCACCCAGACTACATCTTATAGCCTTGCAAACAGAAGAGGATGGTATGTGTGTTGGTTCAGCAGCGAGATGTGACACAGGCACCACTGGGTGTTACAGTGTGCTCTCTACATTTATGCCATAAGTTTAACCATCCCAGCAAAAAGATTTCCAGCAGTATTAAGGGTTTAAATCCCTCTCCCTCAAAGAAAAAATTTCTGCTTGTTTTGCTTTTGATAGTGACTATAAAATGCAAACACACGTGCAAGAACATAGAAATTGCTTGTCATTTCTTGCAGAGTCTAGTAAGAATGGCACAGTCTATTATTGATAACCTGATTACATTGAAAATACAACAATACACTGTGAAATACATAAACAATCAAAAGAAAATTGTAATTGTCAACATAAGTGAAGGCTAATTCATCACCTATTATTACGCTTTGTTCTTTCTGCAGAATTCACTGGTACAAATTAGTATAAATTTGACATTTTAAGCAATTACAGATGATAGCTGGTATGCCCACACAGGTATTAAAAGATGCATGAGAATATCACCTATGAATTGAGTGCAAATCAGGTAGGAAAACACAAATACTGCTAACTCCCCTTCTTGCAGAAACCCACAACTTCCACAGTTTAGGAGAGTAAAACAGTGCCCTTCCTGCTATATGTCAGCCACAGAGTATTTCCATCTCTTACTCTCCTGTCTGTGCTTCTTGCCCACCTCCATACTCAGTCCTGAACAATCCCAGATACTAAGGGCCAGTAGACAGAGCAGGCCACTTGAGGACTACCAGGAAGGTCTCACCTAGACTTTCCATCCACTCCATTTCGTTTTGCTGGGATCCAAACAAGGATCCAGATTTAAGCACAGCTCAGGGGACCTCTGAAGAGAGAAGGGGACAGATTCTTCAGCAAGATTTGTGGTGAAAGAACAAGGGAAAATGTTTTCAAGCTTAAAGATGGTAGATTTAGGTAAGATATAAGGAAAAAGTCTTTTACAGTGAAGGTGGTGAGGCACTGGAACGGTTTGCCCAAAGATGTGGTGGATGCCCCATCCCTGGAAACTTTCAAGGTGAGGATGGATTGGGCCCTGAGCAACCTGATCTAGCTGTGGTGTCCCTGTTCACTGCAGGGCAATTGGACTAGATGGGTCCCTTCCAACTCTAAGGATTCTATGAAATCCTAGCCCTCACTTGTGGGATATGGACACACCAGGCGCAGGAAGATTGTGTTCACCATAATCCAGTGCTCTGCTACTGCTCTGCCCACCTCTTCCCAAACCAATATCTGATCTTACCAAAAGCCACAGGCTTCCTTATGGCTCCATAAGAAATTGTTCTGTATATGTATTTTTTTCCCACTATTAGAACAAAGTGAGTAGAGGTTATAAGAAAACTCTCATACACAAACATATGCTATTTTAATTATGTTACAAATACACAGACAGCTAACTTCAGCTTTCTATCCCTGTGGCAGACTAGCCTTATGTATGTTGCAAACAACTGGTACTGGCAATAGCATCAGACAAAACCAGGCAAGCTGTGGATGGTGACTTCAAATACCTCTCCATGCCAAGTCCTTGCACCAAAGCTAGGAGCTTCTCCAAGCATATTTAATGCTTGGAAATGCCATGGTGTAAACAGAGGTCTAATATTCAGTCTTAGCCTTTAAGGGCCCAGCCCTGTCAGCTTCTTCTGTTGTTCTGTTAAATGCATTAACAAGTTTAACATAAGGATGTTGTTACTATGTTTTAGATTCCTGTCACCGCAATGCAACTCATCCACAATAAATATCCCAAAAATGGGAATCTCCAAGATGTTAGATCTCGAAGTGGCCTTCATCTTCTGCTACCTACTCAGGCTCTCCCATTTCAAGCCTATACAGGCAGGAACCTTTGCTAACAACTCTTACTGCCTTAATCCTTTAGGCTTGATAAAAGATTCCATAGCTCTCAGTGGTCTAACTTAGGCATAAGCCTATCTATCTTCAAAAATAATGGTTCATCTAACATAATAAACCCGCAGATGAAACAATGAAAATAAAAGAACCATCTCATTACAGTTTTCAGATAGAAATCTAATACAGAGACAGGCAACTGACCTAACTTAAATTGCATGTGCCTTTAAAGAACAGCGTTGACAAAAGGCCATTTGGAGACAAACAGCTATGCACGCCTACTTTTACACACACACCTCTTTTTTTAATCTAGAAAATTATGCATATTTCACTGATACAACTCTAACCTTTGCTGCATTGTTTTGGACACTCAAGTAATCCTATGTCTAAAGAAAATAAGAAAAGAAAAAAACTCTTTTTGTAATAAAATTCTGTTAATATCTAGACACACATTTTCCACATTTTTACCTTTGGATATTTTTACATCTAATTTCATAAAGCCTGATGCAGATCTGCAGATGACTTCAAGAACAGTCACTAGAAGAAGCCCACTCAACGTCAAGCAGATATGTATGCAGGTCTCCAGATAAAAATGTACAGAAGGCTGGCTGGTGGTTCTTTCTACCTGTGTGTAAATCAATAACTACATATACTACATTGTACTATTCCTTCAGCATAGAATCATATAATAGAATCACAGAATGGCCTGGGTTGAAAAGGGCCACAATGATCATCTGGTTTCAACCCCCCTGCTATGTGCAGGGTCGCCAACCAGCAGACCAGGCTGCCCA